CACACACACGCGGGTCACATGATGACCAGCTCATGCTTCACACTGAGATGTGAGACAGATACGGACAGAGGACAGACGGGCGGCATCACACTCACTTGACTTCCACTTTCTCGTTGGAGACGCCGTATCCTCGGTGGAGTCGGACAGACGGGCGGCATCACACTCACTTGACTTCCACTTTCTCGTTGGAGACGCCGTATCTGTTGAACTCGGTGGAGATGTACTCCGTCTTCCTCATCCACGGCACCACCTTCGCATGCTGCTGCGACCTACACACACACACACACGTCAGAGTCAGTGCTGGGGGTCAAAGGTCACGGGAGAACGAGCTCCTGTGCTGAAATGATTCTCTCGCACCTCTTTGAGCTCGACGGAGCCTGGATTTCCTCCTCCAGCAGCTTCTCATCAGCAGGATCCAACAGAACTGAAACACACACAAGCCAAGGCACCTTTATTTCTACCGCGCTTTATCCAGTGTAGACTGTGTCGAAGCAGTGTGTGTGTGTCTGGGCTCACTGCTGGTGTCGATGCGGTACGTGTCAGGGTTGATGAGGTCGATGGTGACGCCCAGATCCGGTTCGGTGAGCAGCTCGTGCTTGTGTTGTTTCTCCAGTGACGTGGCTTTATACTGCACAAACCTGCAACACACAGCACGCGGTCAGTGCGACATATCCCAGCAGCCCCTCCGAGCCGAGCCGAGCCGAGCCGTACCTGTGCTGGTCAAACGGATACGTGATGAACTTGGGATCGAACGGGATATCCGGAAGACTGTTGCCATACTTCACTCTGCACACGACGCCGGACCTGCAGCACACAAGAGTTCAAACACACCACTGTTTCCAGACAGGTTTCCCTCTGTCAGCCCCGCCCCTCTCGCACGCGATTGGCTGAGTCAGAGGTTACATGCAGGTCGCTCAAACAAACACATCATCGACTGCGCCCTGCATCACACACTATGCACACTAAACAGTACTGAAGAAAACTAATGATGAGCACTATTTAGGGTGGATAGCATGCGAACGGGATGCAGGTGACACATCATCATCATCATCATCATCATCAGTACCTCTCTGGGACGCTTCTGTGAGCTGAGCTCCTGCAGAAACACAAAGCACACGTGACACACTACATGAGATCTAAATGAGACACGGCCAGTTCACAACAGCGATGTCTCTCATTAAACACAACAGAGTAATTAGCGTGATGAAGGGTTGCCTGAGTGAATGTGCGTGTGCTATAGTGAGTGTTTGATCTGGTTTGTGATCGTGATCTCTCACCGGTGTCCGTCCTCCCGCTGCGCTTGCGTCTGTACAGTAGGAGCCATGCTGGAGCAAACAAACGCGCTTCGCCACGCAAGTTACTAATAAACAGCGACGAAACACAGAAATAAAGGGTTTAAAACAGTTTATCGACAGAAGCAACAGTGTGCGCTTGTGTGTGTGTGTTTGTGTGCGACTTCCGCCCCGCACCGTCTGCTGAAGGACCCCGCGCGGGAGGAGCGGCTGCCCCGATCAGCGCCTGCATCAAACTCTGTATATGTGTTCATGCATTCATAAGCTCATATGATGGTGTACAGTGTTGGGGACAGTTACGTTTAAAAGTAATAAAGTTCCTAAAAAAAGGAAAGAATTGTGTTACTTTTTATGGAAAGTATTGCGTTACTTTTACTCATCTGCCTTGGCACAATTTTTCTCTCTTTAGAAACAACAACAACAAAGAAAGATACACAGATGTCATGTTTATCTAAAAAAAAATGTCTCAGAATGGTTGAATTGGATCATCGAAGGTCAGCAGCAAATATACTGGTTAATAAAATGGAATTAAATACATAAAGGATATTTGTGTTATTTAGCATGTTTGCGGCATGTCCAGAGTTTGCATGCTCTTACAGGAGAGCTGTCAGACAATACATGAGAAACAAAGGAACTGGAGTTACTTATTTGAAAAAGTAACTCCGATATTTTCTTGTAAATTAAAAAGTAATGCATTACGTGATTTAACAACAAACCAGATGTATAAATGCGTTGTAATTCATGATATTTAGCGCATTAACTAATGTGAACACAAGTAACCTTATTGTAACGGATGATTTGATTGATCTATGGCTCTCTTTGCATGAAATATAAAGCATTACTTTTATTTCCATGGAAGCAGATAGTGGCTGGAGAGATCTGTGCTTGGTTTTGTTCAGTGTAGAAAAGAAACCTCTGAAAACTCTATTAAAACTGCTTCATTTTTATTATTAGGTAAAAAAGACAAACTGGTACAAAAATAGAAAGAACAATAATTAGATAAAAGTTAATCCGGAGATGCTAAAGTTTTATAAAATGAAATTCCAACTAGTTAAAGAGATGAACTGGTTAAACTCAGTCAGTCATGTTCACACAGGTAACAGTTTTAAAGACATTACGGTTTGTCACTGATCATGTGAAGAAACCTAAAACCTCAAGACTACAACATTTCATGTTCCTGCAAACACTGCTCATGTTTAATGTGTTTCTGCTGAATCTCTCGACTCTATCCATCTGTAGAAACCTCCCATCACAGGCTCTCTGACGTCACGAGCATCCGCTGACCTCTGACCCTCCCGCGTCCCTTCATGTGACCTCACACTCGAGCAATGACATCACTTCCTCACGTCTGCATGTGCGCAGAAAGGTCAATTCTGTGGGAGAAGATGAGCTTGATTTTGTAGTATTTGTTTGTGTAACAAGAGCACACTGACAGAACTGAATCAGGTGAGACAGCAGCCGTTTTCTTTATCTTTCCGTATCAGAAGCAGAAATAAAGCTCACCTGCTCAACACGTAGAGGAACTGATCTGGATCATCTGCAGACTCACTGCACACAAAACAACAAGTGTTACTTACAAAGCCACGCTTTCATAAGAGCATCACAAATAAGATATCTTTGTTTTTAATTGTGATTGTCATCCCCCCACAGACAGGATTTCGTGAGACTGTGGAGGCTGAATCTGAACCTCTAAGTCTCACCCACCATAAGAACATTGGGTAACACTTTATTTTACAGCATCCCTGTTACACGATACATGTGCTTACTGTAGTAACAACAGTAAGATATGCATAATTACATGCAACTAACCCTAAACTAAACCCTGACCTTACAGTAAGTGCGTGTTGTTAATTAATAACATGTAACAGGTAATAAGGATACCTTAAAATAAAGTCTAACTGAAAATTTTGCATATTTTAAAGTTAAATGCATCACTCTGAGAGAAAAAGTACGAGCTCCAACCCATTTTTAGTGACCAAATTGAACAAAGTAAAATGTTGTGAAAAACTGTGATAGTGTCTCAGTCTACATCACATTCACACTGGTGTTTTTAGGAAGCCAAATAATTTGAATATAAATTAATAGTAATAATAATAATATAATTATTGTTATTATTGTATGTTAAATAGATGAGCGTGGATGAGTATAGATGAGTGTGGATGACGCAAGTTACTAATAAACAGCGACGAAACACAGAAATAAAGGGTTTAAAACAGTTTATCGACAGAAGCAACAGTGTGCGCTTGTGTGTGTGTGTTTGTGTGCGACTTCCGCCCCGCACCGTCTGCTGAAGGACCCCGCGCGGGAGGAGCGGCTGCCCCGATCAGCGCCTGCATCAAACTCTGTATATGTGTTCATGCATTCATAAGCTCATATGATGGTGTACAGTGTTGGGGACAGTTACGTTTAAAAGTAATAAAGTTCCTAAAAAAAGGAAAGAATTGTGTTACTTTTTATGGAAAGTATTGCGTTACTTTTACTCATCTGCCTTGGCACAATTTTTCTCTCTTTAGAAACAACAACAACAAAGAAAGATACACAGATGTCATGTTTATCTAAAAAAAAATGTCTCAGAATGGTTGAATTGGATCATCGAAGGTCAGCAGCAAATATACTGGTTAATAAAATGGAATTAAATACATAAAGGATATTTGTGTTATTTAGCATGTTTGCGGCATGTCCAGAGTTTGCATGCTCTTACAGGAGAGCTGTCAGACAATACATGAGAAACAAAGGAACTGGAGTTACTTATTTGAAAAAGTAACTCCGATATTTTCTTGTAAATTAAAAAGTAATGCATTACGTGATTTAACAACAAACCAGATGTATAAATGCGTTGTAATTCATGATATTTAGCGCATTAACTAATGTGAACACAAGTAACCTTATTGTAACGGATGATTTGATTGATCTATGGCTCTCTTTGCATGAAATATAAAGCATTACTTTTATTTCCATGGAAGCAGATAGTGGCTGGAGAGATCTGTGCTTGGTTTTGTTCAGTGTAGAAAAGAAACCTCTGAAAACTCTATTAAAACTGCTTCATTTTTATTATTAGGTAAAAAAGACAAACTGGTACAAAAATAGAAAGAACAATAATTAGATAAAAGTTAATCCGGAGATGCTAAAGTTTTATAAAATGAAATTCCAACTAGTTAAAGAGATGAACTGGTTAAACTCAGTCAGTCATGTTCACACAGGTAACAGTTTTAAAGACATTACGGTTTGTCACTGATCATGTGAAGAAACCTAAAACCTCAAGACTACAACATTTCATGTTCCTGCAAACACTGCTCATGTTTAATGTGTTTCTGCTGAATCTCTCGACTCTATCCATCTGTAGAAACCTCCCATCACAGGCTCTCTGACGTCACGAGCATCCGCTGACCTCTGACCCTCCCGCGTCCCTTCATGTGACCTCACACTCGAGCAATGACATCACTTCCTCACGTCTGCATGTGCGCAGAAAGGTCAATTCTGTGGGAGAAGATGAGCTTGATTTTGTAGTATTTGTTTGTGTAACAAGAGCACACTGACAGAACTGAATCAGGTGAGACAGCAGCCGTTTTCTTTATCTTTCCGTATCAGAAGCAGAAATAAAGCTCACCTGCTCAACACGTAGAGGAACTGATCTGGATCATCTGCAGACTCACTGCACACAAAACAACAAGTGTTACTTACAAAGCCACGCTTTCATAAGAGCATCACAAATAAGATATCTTTGTTTTTAATTGTGATTGTCATCCCCCCACAGACAGGATTTCGTGAGACTGTGGAGGCTGAATCTGAACCTCTAAGTCTCACCCACCATAAGAACATTGGGTAACACTTTATTTTACAGCATCCCTGTTACACGATACATGTGCTTACTGTAGTAACAACAGTAAGATATGCATAATTACATGCAACTAACCCTAAACTAAACCCTGACCTTACAGTAAGTGCGTGTTGTTAATTAATAACATGTAACAGGTAATAAGGATACCTTAAAATAAAGTCTAACTGAAAATTTTGCATATTTTAAAGTTAAATGCATCACTCTGAGAGAAAAAGTACGAGCTCCAACCCATTTTTAGTGACCAAATTGAACAAAGTAAAATGTTGTGAAAAACTGTGATAGTGTCTCAGTCTACATCACATTCACACTGGTGTTTTTAGGAAGCCAAATAATTTGAATATAAATTAATAGTAATAATAATAATATAATTATTGTTATTATTGTATGTTAAATAGATGAGCGTGGATGAGTATAGATGAGTGTGGATGAGTATAGTTGAGTGTGGATGAGTATAGATGAGTGTGGATGAGTATAGTTGAGAGTGGATGAGCGTGGGTGAAGCTGGATGAGTGTGGATGAGTATAGATGAGTGTGGATGAGAATAGTTGAGTGTGGATGAGCGTGGGTGAAGCTGGATGAGTATAGATGAGTATAGATGATTGTGGATGAGTATAGTTGAGTGTGGATGAGTATAGTTGAGTGTGGATGAGCGTGGGTGAGGCTGGATGAGTGTGGATGAGTATAGTTGAGTGTGGATGAGTGTGGATGAGTATAGATGAGTGTGGATGAGTATAGTTGAGTGTGGATGAGCGTGGGTGAGGCTGGATGAGTGTGGATGAGTATAGTTGAGTGTGGATGAGCGTGGGTGAGGCTGGATTAGTGTGGATGAGTATAGATGAGTGTGTATGAGTATAGATGAGTGTGGATGAGCGTGGGTGAGGCTGGATGAGTATAGATGAGTATAGATGAGTGTGGATGAGCATGGGTGAGGCTGGATGAGTGTGGATGAGTATAGTTGAGTGTGGATGAGTATAGTTGAGTGTGGATGAGCGTGGGTGAGGCTGGATGAGTGTGGATTAGGGGTGCGCTGATCCGATATTCAGTATTGGTATCACTCCGATACTGCCATTTTTTTGGCGGATCAGTTATCGGTCAGACGAGACCGATCCAAATCCGATATTCTGTGTATACTATTCTGTGTTATTGTTAAGCCCCATGAAAGGCACAAAAACATTATAAAGCACCATAAAGTTGCACTATATTTCAAGTGTTCTGAGACATAGTTTAATGTGAGGTACAGATGGATATTTAAGTCGTTAAATTCAAGTTCTCGTAAACTCTTCTCTCCGCTGCGGCTGTCAGTCATCCTCCATTTAGCATTTAAACTGCGCGTCGCATTCGGTTACGACAGTCAAGACAACGAAACTCTCTCTAGGATGATACAATGTTCCTATTATTATACTTGATCTGTAGATAAACATCAGTGGCTTTGCATTAAAAGGCTTTATCTTGCTGGAGTTTAGTGCTGTTTCTAAAGCATGTTACTTTCTACCGGGTGTCTGTTAGATCACAACACTGGAGTAGAGAGCACTATGAATTGTTATTCATTCGCACATTAACTGAAATTTAAAACTGTTCAATGAAAAGGCTCAATAAACTGTCGCACAGATATAATACACTATGCATCAATATCTCTTCCCTTTGTGCTTTGAACTTTTCTATGCTGCGCGCTGTGACTCCGTGTTGCTTCAAGCGCATCATTCTGCGCATAAGCGCTCTGTATAGGAGCCTTTCATGTTATAATACTTTTGCGCAATGAAAGATTAATAGCCTTTCTTGTTGTCTTATCTATCATATGTTGCTGCCTCATTACGGTGCTATACATTTAAAAGAAATGTCTTTTAATTTTATAGTATATTAATTTATATATAAATATATTACTTGTTTTTAATGAATGTATTTTACAACAATACAAAGAGCAATGTTTTACCAGATTTAGCCCTACACTTATTCACTTTTATTTGTTCCCCACTAAATAATGTTTTTTTTTCACTAAACATTTAGATTTTATAAAAGTATTGTGCACTAATGAGTAACTTTTGCAACTGAATTATCCACTAACCTAGTTTATGGTAGTATTTTTGTCATAGATTATGATTATATATTTAGCCATTTGTTGTTTTGCTTTACAGTGAAGTTGTCTATGTGTTAGATTGTGTTTAACACACAAGAGTGATGATCAGGTCAACACACTGAGGTATAGAAATTCTACACTGATTTAAAAAAAACTGTGCTGGTATCGTATCGGTTCTGAAAAAGTGGTATGGAGCCAGCACTAGTGTGGATGAGTCAGTGCTGGACTCACCCTGAACCCCAGTGATAGAAAACCCGATCCTGATAGTACAGACACAGGAAGAGCCAAACACTGATGGTCTCCAGCCAGAAGATGACGAACAGGAACCAGACCGAGGAGAGCAGCAGCTCACACACCATCCTGACACCTACAGACAACAACAGTATCTTCATCATCATCATCATCATCATCATCATCATCATCACTGAACATCACACCATCCTCAGACCTACTGACAACAACAGACTGTCAGTCTGTAAAGCACCTGGAATCAGTGAACGAGCCTGTTGATGTGATCGACTAATGAAATAAACACATTTATTCGGTGAAATGCAGCAGGAACAGTTTCTAGTGAATCTAAACGCACTTCCGGGCATGCGCACTCGCGCCCGCATTTCAGGATAAAAGTCCTCAGGAATGCACATGGGGTCAAAGCAGTTTAAGAAGAATGATTTCAAAGGTAAGATAAATATATAAATAACATCGGCATTTGATTTAAATATAAAAATAACGATGTTCATAAAGTCATCTGAATCATTAAACAAATAATCACAATAATAACAACAACCCATATCAGCAGTAACAACCTCAGTACAGATTTAAAAAGAAGAACAATTTAAAATAGAGATGTTTATTATTTAATACCAGCCAAACATCATCAATTAAACAGATCCTTTGAATCCTCCGCTGTAATTCCGGAAGTTTCTGTCGGATGTCGGAACAGGAAGTGAAGTCACCGCTACTGCTGTGCTGTGTGAGTTAGCTCGAGTCAAAGCGACTCTATTGATTAAAGTTCAGTTATTAAAGTGACTTCATCATTTATTAAAACCCCGGTTAGGGTTCAGAAGCAGCGGCGCGGGTTCACCACGCCTTTACTGCAGACACAGGTTCGTGTTTCTTCTTT